CTAAACATAACTTACAAAATACATTGTGTAAGCCTGCATTTTCCTGCCTTTCATCTGAACTGCAGAACCTTCATTCTGAGAGTTTCTCGTAGCTGAAGCTGATATTCCTTAACATCTTGCAGAAATCTTTGAGCTGCAAATTGACAGTGATCTTAAAAGGTTTTATTCATTTTCATTCATTTCAAAGAAAACTCTCTGTGATAGAAAAGTGTTCCATAAGCCCCTGCCAATTAAAAACACACCAACAAATCATCCTGGATCTTCTAGCGCTGCGATGCTCTGCGGTGGGACGTCACGGGGGGAATTCTGATGAGGCCGTGGAGAGAGAGTGACTTCCACCTCTGACTGCCTGGCAGATGCGGCCCCAGGTCTCTGGCTGCAAACGCACCTTCTGGTTCCGTTCCACAGTGAGAAATGCTCCTCTGATTTTGGAAACATCTCGCTTGACCATAAACCCTCCCTTATCTGGTCATCGTGGTGCTGCCAAGGATACTTTTTCTTTTCTAACTTTTTATATGGATTAATTAGAACAAGGCGGGACTGTGGTCACGCCCCACCGGACCGCTTACTGGTTTGGTTATTTAAATATGGGATGACCAAACATTGCAAAAATTTTGGTAAGATGATTTTTGTAAGATGATAAAGGAAATGTAAAAATGATGATTTTATTAACTTTGTTCAATAATTTTTCTGGGTATGGTAATTTCTTCCAACACTCCACACCTGCCTGCGTGATGCCACCTGGGATGGGCGGGAGCAAAGTGCCCTATCTTCAGGGTGAGCTGGGAAGTGGAGGGTGCACTCCTGGGGGGGTGCAGCAAGTCTGGGTGCTTCCTCGGCTTCCAGGTTTGATGAGCGATTGCTCAGTCCTGCTGCACGTGCGGAGGGAGCGGGAGGCTGAAGCGGAGCGGCTCCTTGGTTGCAGCTTGAGCACAGCGCTGGGTTTGGATGCTGTTTTGGGCCCTAAACACCTCCCTGAAGGAACCTTGAAGAACCAGAAAGTGACTCAGTAAGTTTTTTGAGTCAAAATCCTCCTTGTTCACTTTTAACGTATTTTTTAGCTCCATAATTTAATACAGCACCAACTACTTATCACTTAATGACTTAACATTGTATGAAAGATTGGTAGCTGGCCGCAATGCCAATAAGGGAAACCTATCCGTCCCACCGGTAACCCTTGTGCAAAGCCCTGGCTGAGTCCTGGTGACGGACGCAGGGACACTCGGAGCAGACAGCTCTGTGCTGTCGTGGAGCTGCAGGCAGAGGAAGCAGCCTTCGGTCTTCCTGGGAAGCACTTTCCACCCTCCCGCCAGCAGCCATTCTGAAAATAAAACCTACAGTTGTAAGATAAACTCAGCTGACTTCAAGCTATGGTACAGTTTTGAGATGCCAAATACGCACCAGTAATAGTCACACACTGCTATTTATTTTATTTACTTTTACTGGAATTTAAAAAAAGAACAGATGATCATAAAGCGCCATGCATTGTGTCTGAGTACAGCTTCCCGTTGCTGCCGTCTTCCCAGCGGAAGGAGCCCTTGCAAGAGACAAAGTCGGGCCTCAGCCCTGTCTTCCTCTCACACTCACAGGGGAAGTGTGAGCCAGATGTCAGGGCTTCCTCCTGCCATCCTGGCATGGGGTCACTCTCTGAAGGACTCGCCCATCTCAGTGACCAGCGTCGTCACCAGCTCACAGGTACACTCACCTGCTGGTAAACCACCTCTGCCTTTGTTACGAGCTCTGTGTTGCGCTGAGCGGTGCACACAGTTATCACGATGCACTTTTAGGGAACCTGGAGGACATGGTTGTCCTCAGTCCCATTTTGCAGATGAGAAAATGGAGCATCAAGAAGCCACGTGAGCAAACTCATAAAGTCGGAAGATGGCAGAGAAGGATTTAGACTCCAGCAGCAATGCTCACAATCGCCAAGACTGAGAAAGTTTCTTGGAGAAAATTCTGTTTTTGTAAACATTAAAATTTTGGAATTTGGGGACCTAGCTAGGGCACCCAAAAGAGGAGTAAATGTGTGTCTCTGAGCAGGAGACCTGTGGTCCTGGGAGGGGGGAGTCCAAGAATTGGGGAAATTCTCTCGCCTGCTGAAGCCGTTGCTTCTAGTGTCCTATAGGAAGTCACGTTAGGGTTCTTTCCTCACGCACTGCAGCTACCGCAGATCAAGCAAGTCCACAGTTCAGTGCACCAAACTTTGGAATCAGAAATTTTGAAACAGCGGAAGCTAATACAACCATGGTCCTTACAGTCTTGGGCTGTAGCCTGAGGTGACATACCCAGTGCTACCAGCTTTCACAGGTAGAAAGAAAAGAAAGCCTATGGAAAACCACTCAAAAAGCAACAACAAATTTCTCCTGCATGGCTAACATAGCCACCGTGAATATTCACAAGGTAATAATAGCAATCACCACAATTCTGACATCTTTGGTTACTTCTCTGTCCCTCTGCAAACCCTTAGCTGACTTCTAACCCCACCCGCTTTGGTGCCCGCCACAGTCCTGTGCCTAAAACAGTGGCTCAGGTCTTTGTGCTGTGACAGTGGAAAGTGAACCAGGATTTCCTTCATGGGAGTTTTGTAATAGTATGAGAATGTGACAGCCTTGACAAGGAGGTCTCTTCTCGATTTCCATAAGCCGTATTTGTGAGAAGCATGCTGGTGGGCCAGGGGTGTAGCTCAGCGGCACAGCGCCTGGCTGGCAAGTGCAAAGTCCTGAGTTCAGTTCCTGGTACAAAAAACAAATCAGGAGCACACTGGCTCCATTTGCTGCAAGGGTGTGATTGACGATAATGGCACGATGCATTGTGACTTTGGCTATGAAGAGGAAAAGCCAGCTGCGGTGTGTCACAGCCTGAGCCTGGAGCTCTGCCTTTGGAGTCCTGTCACCTGCACTGGTGAGCACATTACGGACCAGAAGAAGCCATCAGAAGTTAGATGTGTGGAGAGCGGATGGAGGCGTCTCTTCCCAGGTTTTATTCTTTCTTGCTTTCCGGTGAAGCAGGAAGCATTTCAGCAGTGGTGCTCTGGCCCTCTTTTGTCCTGGCCAGATCCTGCAGAGGGAACAAGGTGAGGCGGATGCCATGTGTGACTCAGGCGGCCATCACCTCGGAACTCACAGTGGCAGTGCTGAAGACCTGCACGTTCCAAGGTGCAGTTTACCCTGCAGATTTAAGCTTGGAGGCCTCGGAGGGCCCAGGATGGGTGCTGATCACTACCGATGCCTGAAGATGCCAGGCTCACTTCCCTCGTAGAGAGAAGAGCTGCACTGGATTAGATGTCATCGGGGGTGTGCTCACAGCGCAGGGTTCCGGGTCAGCTGGGACCCCAGCCCCACTGGTGTCCCGTGGCCCGGAAGAGGCCCTCGGGCTGGTGGTTCGTTGACTCCCTTGCCAGCAACTTGAACTTCTGCATGGCTGCAGCTCCCTGTCTCACTCTGCACCAAACTGGGCACATACTAGTATCAGACTGTTTAAACAGAGCAATAAACAGCAGCTAGTTCTTTAACTAAACCCGCTTGCAGGCTAATCTTAAGGCAGCCCTGCTGGAGGATTCACGTACATTAATTAACTCTAATAGCAAGGACGGAAGGGAAAGGAAAAAAGGTGAAAGGCATTGTTTAAAAGAGAGAGAGAGAGAGAATCCGTGCTCAATTTCTTTCTGCCTTTTTTCTAGGAGTTTAACACTTGGACAATTTGGTCAAATTATGGGCAGGGTAGCAGGAGAAGCCGGTCAGCTTTGAAAGACGGAGAGCGAGTGAGACAGGACATGATTACTTTGCTGAATCCCCACTTTTTTTCTTCCAAAAGAGACAAAAGGACATACTTAAGAACCAATAGTGAGGCAAGGAGGCAATCATCGAGTTGCAGGGTACCTTTGTCTCTGGGGGGCACGCCGTAATTTTTACATGTCTGCCACTGAGTGTCAAACCTTCCCTTTTCTTCTTCTTTCCATTCTGGACAGCCAAACTGATTATCTAAAATAGAAAATTAGCACACAATGGGTTTACTCTGCGATACCCCTTATGCAACTAATGGCAAAGCTTGTTAATTGGTTGTAAATGCCAGCAGGTTGCCAGGATAATACTTCAGAAATAAGCGGGTATTCTGATAATTACAGCAATCTTCATCTATAAAAGCTTAAGTAGATGAAGTAGTGGCTGGCTTAAAACCAAGATTTATCCCGCTGCACTCACATTAAAAGAAAAAATAAGATGAAAACAATAATGTAACAAAACAATTATATAGCAGGAAGCTTTGTAGGTTTTAGAGATTGTGAAAACTCAGAAAGTAAAACAGTGCTGTAATAACCAGTTATGGAAAAATAGGCCATTTACATTTGTGTATAATTAAATAGTAGGCTATGCAATTTCACTTTTTAAAGTAAACTGCCTTTTCCTTTTTTTATAGGGCGACGTCGCCATAATTGCTGCATTAAAGCTTTAATGAAAGAAAAAAGCCGCGGATGAGGGTGACACGGAACGTCTACATCTGCACCGTGGCGCTCTGCTCGTTTAGTAATGGGAAGCTACTGAGGAGATTAAAATTGCAGAATTCTTCATAGTTTGCTCTAAAATTGCTATAGGAAGATCATTCAGGGTCTAAAATATACACAATTTATTTTTCTACCTTCAATCTGCAAGAATTTAATGGCTTTCACAACTAGTAGGTGGTTGAAGCTACATTTTATATTAAAGAGAGGACCACTTTGGATCATGGAAATTACCCAAAGGGACGGATCAGAATTCAGAGCCCGAGGGACGCTGCAGTGCGCCGTGACATTGTCCCGCATGGTCTAAGCAGTCGGTGTTTAATTGGGGCGGTGGAAGACGCTCTCCCTCTCTCAGCAGCAACAGGTTGGGGTGTAGGGAGTCGCTTTTGTGCATTTTGCAATTTCTTCAACCCCGGAAAAGCAGCAGTAGCCAGTGAGAAGGCAGCCAGCCCTCAGGTGGGTGTCTGGCCGCACCCCCTAAATTTGCAGTACTCTTCGGAGGTTCTGCTGCTCGTGGGTTGGCTGTTTCCTGTGAAGGTCTCTGTGGAGGCAGCAGCAGAGACTGGAAACCTGCGCTGTGGGTCCCAGCTCCAAGCAGAAGGCGGGCCACGTGCGAAAAGCAAGCCGGGCCTGGCGGGGAGGACATCAGCGCCATGGCTGCAGGGACAAGAAGCGGCCTTTAGAGACGCTGGAGGCAGCGCCCTTCTCGCCTGCCAGCCTGGGCGGAGGCCCGGAGGGGCACTGAAGCCTGAACCCTGGCTACACTCGGGGAGGGAAAAAGGTTTTGAAAAGATAAAAACAAAACTTAAAAAATCAAATGAATTAAGAGAAAGCAAGGGCACATAGAATAATTTTTGCCAGTGTGAGGACTTGTGGAAATTACTTATCTAATATACTTTTACTTTCTTTTCTTTCTTTTTTTTTTTTTTGTCTTTTTGAGACATGCAGTTCAGGCTGGCCTTGAGCTTGCAGCAATTCTGCTGCCTCGGCCATGCCGGGCCCTTCTTCATCTTCTTCTTTTTCTAAAGCAGCTAACTGAAGTTGCTCTGATGCTTGGTTGAAAGCCTTGGTGACTTAGTGGCACGGCCCGGGTCTCATCGGGAGTGAAGCAGCTGTGTGACCTGGAGGACAGAAGATTCCAGAGGCCGCAGGTCCCAGCGCGGCAGTCGGCTGCCAGGTGCCGTGGTGGGAGTCGTTCTCGAGGGGCTTCTGATGGCTGATACTCGTGACCTCTGTGGGAGATTTTCGATGCCCTGTAATGTCCACACCCAGTAAACGTACCTCCTCGTTTCTTCGTGGCCCGTTTTTTGGTCTCTCCCTGTTCCCTATGCTGCAGTGAAGTGATTGTCACGCAGGCAGGCATGTGAGCCAGATCTGTGAATGGGTTCTTTTCAAACAGAGAGGAACACACTTGCTTCTTCCCCAGGTCTGGTGCTGAACGCACGCCCTGGATGAGTGTTCCCAGAACCATCCCCAGGTCAGCCGGGGCCTCCAGTCTGAAGGCCCAGTGTGGGCGGAGTTTGCTCCCCGTCCTGTCCTGTCCACTCTGGAGGCAGGTGTGCCATGGCCACAGCGTCCTGGGGGAGGGAGGAGGCACTGCTCTGTTTCCTGTGAGCTGTCACTGATCAGGCCTGCATCTGGCATGGGCGCTGTCATCTTGGCAGTGGGGCTTGGGATGCGTGCGGATGTGTAGGAGTTTGTGGCACCCTCTGTCCTCAGGGAAGCCCCTGCGTATGTCCTGCCACCTCTCCAGCGGCAGCGACTGTGCTTGCTGAGAAGGGACAGGGTGCTTCCTCCCCTCTGTGGGGTTTTGGGAAAGTGTGCACAAATAGTAACAACTTGTCTCTCTTGCCCCAGACAGGGCAAGTACACTGTTTGTGTACATGAAAATTCATGCTGCTATTCATTTTAATTTTGCCATTTTTTGTGGTTTTGATTTTCAGGTTTGAAGAGGCTTAAACAATAGCTTTCAATTTCATCTTGATTGGTTTCAAAAGACTCTCAAAGCCTGCCTGGGGAAGGAAGCCCTGCACCCTTAGGAGCTGCAAGGCACAGGTAGCTCGGAGTGTGGGTGCGTGCACGCCTGCTGGGTGCCGGGTGGGAGCCACGCTCCTCCACGGCCTTCACAGCAGGCGCAGTGGGCAGCAGAGCCCTCGTCCTGCTGGGTCTCCCCAGGGTGCTGGCACTGAGCTCCAGCAGTCAGAAACTTGGTGACAGCTATGACCGGCATGTACTCCATCAGATGTCACCAAAAATGACCAGGGGGACACAGAGGGAGGGGCTTTTGGGCCAGCAAGGTCTGGGTTTGGGTCCAGCCTTTGGCACTGAGGAGTTCAGGTGAGGACCTCGCCTTTCACGTAGGTTCCTGCGTTGTTGTTTGCCGCACAGTAGGTGCTCTGAGCACTGCGTCCTTCAGGCTCCTTGTTCCTTTGTGATCTCAGAGAAGAGAAACTCCACAGCTCTTTCTAAAGAAGAGCCAGTCTGATTTTTTAAAGGTAAACTAAATCTTCAGTAGATAGGTTCCTGGACCCGCAGACGTTAGCTGTCTGGCTGAGACATCCCGGATTCGTGCCAGTGACGAGCCGCTCCAAGGAACCAGTTAGCTGGTATACATGTTTTATATATGCTCCTTTTTTCTGGTCAGCAAATATGTTACTTTAAAATTGTTTAACCTCTTTATGATTACTGAGAGGGTGAGGTGAACTCCAAGCCCTGAGGGCTGGTTTCCAACTATTGGCAGGGCTCTCCTGGGGTGGAGTCAGGGCTGTTTAACAGCACGGAATTCAGGCTCCATGACGAAGGGAAGTGAAGGAGAGAATTCTCCAGGGGTCTGTTCATCGTTCCTCCGTGGGCCCTGATCCGGACTGCAGGGTGGGGTGACTCCTGTCTGGGACACGGACCCACGGGTGCCACTGTGCGTGGGTGATGTTGAGGAAAAGCCCCTGGTCCCCGGAGAGTGTGGGAGTGGTGTTGCTGGCTGACTCCACAGTGAGGTGTCCCTGGGGCCAGCCCCTGCAGCATCTGTTCCTGACACCATCGTCTTCCCCGTGACCCCGAGGTCCCTACACGCAAGGACGTGTGGACCCTGCGGGATCTGGAGGAGGACGAGTGTGTTTCTTTTCCCTTCCATATGAAGTGGCTTCTTTTTCTGTTTGCATCTTCATGTGAACATTCTGGATGGCGAGACTGACAGATTATTGGCTCAGATGCAATTTGCCTTACACATAACCTCACTGCCAATTTCACTTAAAAAAAGATGTCTTCCTTCATGGAAGAAATAAGCAGAACTTTGTTGTAGTAAAAAAAAAAAAAACCCACACACACACGCAAAAAACCACACACACATGTACACACACGCAAAAAAAAAAAAAAAAAAAAACCTGTTCTGTGAACTGAAATCGCTCACTGAGGCAGACCTGCCTGATTTGGGCTGAGTCCCACATGCAGCCTCGCGGTGACCTGCATCTCATCGGAGCCTCTCGTACATTGATTGTCATTTCAGGAGATCTCAGGGCGGTCTCTGGTCTAACATGAGAGTGTTCTCCCGGGCGTGATGATGATGGGGATGGTGATGGCCGTAGTCATAGCAATGCTACGGTCACATCTTCTTAAATGTCCCTGGCCCGTCTTCAGCTGGAGCAGCACTAGATGATGCCGGGGACTATCACACGACTACTGTGCACACCCCTCATCGCTCCTCAAAGGGCTTGTCTACCTCGATCCTCGAGAAGACGCGAATAAAGGTGATTAATGATTTGCAGAGACCTCACAGTAGACAAATGAAGAATCTTAATTTGTGTGGTTTCAACAAATTCTCGTTTTCAACAAATAATTGCGAAGAAGCCTTTTCGAACCTCAGAATCCACTTGCATAGAAAAGAAATGTTAATTAAATTTCTGGGTTATTTAAACAGTTTTAAGGAGAAAATGAAAAAAACTAGTTTATTCATGATTAATGGAAGATGGGGTGAATAATAATGGTTTTGTCATACAGCTATCGTTCTCAGAGGTTAATTGGGTTTCGATAGAAAATGAGGCTGACGTTCTGTAATGGGTTCCAAACCCCCGAGGGTGACTTCTACTTTATAACCCACTGTGCCCTTCATCTGACTTTTATCATGGGGACGATGTGCTGTCCCCCGACAGACAGCTCTGTGTATACACACGCAACTGAACGGTTTAGGGTCTCATGCCAGTTCTGTTAAATCTATGCAAAAACTTCAGCTAAAAATTTCATCCTAAGGTTTAAAGACATCTTTTCTCCCGTGGCGACTACCAATACTTCAATCAATAATCAGGTTAAACACTGGAAAGTATTAGCCCAGCTGCGCTGCTGGGGAGCTGGCACGATGGATGTCAGGCAGCACTACGGAGAGCGTTTTCCCGCAGCCTTAGCTGCACTGTTTAGGTCACCTTAGCAAGATCGGGGAGGTATCTGGGATGGAAGGGACGTTTAGCTTCAGGTGGTGGTCACTGTCCGTGCCGTACAAACTCAGCGTCTCAAGCAATCGTACAGAACATAGTGTGCCCCTGTTGTCCTGTAGATGGTGTCAAAGCTGCTGTGTCATTGCAGATTCTCATGGCCTCCCTGTAACATGAAACAGGTTATTGTGGAGGACACGTGTGCCTACAGACTCTGCAAGGTGCCACACACACAGAAGGCCCCCAAAGTGTCCTGCTCAAGGCATTGGGGTGCAGTGCGAGGCTCTGAGGGGCAGTGTGTTTCTTTAAGGCACACAGCCTGTGAGGGGTTTGAGATTCTGAAGTCATTAATTAATAACAGGCTGTGTTAATCAATACAATAGGTATCCACTGTAATGGCTTAGAACATGATGGCTTTTAATGGCTCAAGTATAAATGTTAATTGATCTACAGTAAAGGGAAATTTCTGTCTATTGGGTCAATAGTTTATGGATTATGACTACCTTTTAGCTCGGGATTGCTAACAAATGAGCCTTCTTCTTCCCCTGCTGCCTGGTCTGTTCTCTGCTTTAATCAGAAATGCCTGTAAAGCAGGTACATTAGACCAATTATTGGTGTAGAATCCAGTAACGCTCACAAAGCCCCAGAGGTCCTTTGGGATGCCACAGGGGGACCTCAGTGTCCAGCCTACAGCATGGTGCATGTGTGCGCCTTGGAAAAGGTGCTCACGCTTCTTTCAGGATTTTATGGTGTGTGCATAGCCTACAAGTGAGCAAACATTCGCTAGATCGTCAAGAATTTCATGTCCTAAGTGCTTAATGTATGCAAAATTGAGAGATATGTAGCAAATGTGTCATCTGCCAGAATAAGTAGCCTCTGATAAAATCATGTTGTTTATTCTCACATCTGCAGGGAAAAGCAGGCACATTTAGAACGAGCTTAACACCAAAGCAAGAGCCGGCAGGTGGGCTCTCCCTAGGAGACTCCTATGGCAGCCTGGGCCTTGCTTAGTGATGTTCCCGAGACGAGACTCGGGAGTTGGTTACTCCATTGGGCAATGTGCAGACGATGGTTGGACAGACGGACGCACAGACACTGGTTCCTTCTCCACCAGGTGGCGGGTGACACTGCCTCCCCTTCCTCGGTGCGGCCCCTCTTCAGTGCTCCACCCTGGAGTCTGCTTTGGAATGGTGCCAGTTATCATGTTTATTTAGGCAAATTCAACATCAGAAGGCTGATTCTGTGATATTTGAGGAGACTGTGAGTTTGGCACTGCGTCTTGGGCAGTTGTGACACACCTGCACGTGAAGTCACGGAAGTCAGAGTGAGCGATCCGGGGACAATGGCTCTTCTCGCTGAACTTTTTGTCCCTGGGGTCACCTCCTCGGCCTGGTTTGCAGTTTTCAGTACTATCTGCCGATTTCTTTGCAGGGAGGACAGGAATTGATAGACCTTCTCCTCCCGGCACCCTTCCTAGGAGGACTCTTCCACCGTGAACGCCTTCGAAGTTTCAGAGTTTGCCCTTCTCTCCCTCATCCGTCTCTCGGTGCATTCAGACACCTTAGATCATCCCTCCGAGGACAGCAGGGAAAGCCGGGCAAGAACGCTCTTTTCCCAGTGGCAGTGTGTGTGTGTGTGTGTGTGTGTGTGGCAGGCTGGGGGAACTGATGAGAAGGACGGATCAGCAGAGAGACAGGAGACACTGAGAAGAGAATGGAAGATCTAAGAGGAAACCAGGAGGGATGCGCAGGAGACTGTGTGGAAAGCCCCAGAAGAATCAACTCAGACGTCTACCCAGCACGCCTCAGAGCAGCTGCTAGCGTTCGGGTTTCCAAAGCCTGAATGCAGAGAGACACAGCAAGCAACTTCGGAGTGCTCACTGAGCAACTTGGCTCTCAAGGAAGCGAGATGGAGGAGCATTCAGCAACAGCTGGATGGAGACAAAAGATTACACTCGGGTTTCCTTTTTCGTGATGTGGTAGATGTAGCACGCTTCGGGACGAAGGTGTGAAGTGACCGATCAGTGTTTTCTCGTCCCACCCCTTTGGCTGCATCTGTAGTCTAAGGACAATGATGCACCCTTTGATATTGTCCTTTACGGTGTCTACGGCTGGAGGAGTTGTCTTCGTCTGCACACCCCTGCACGAGCACACACACACAGAGGAGCCCCCTGTGCACGCGGGCACGGGGCGTGAACACGGCCCCCCCACCCTTCTCAGAGCCCTCTAGGTCCTGCTGGGCTTTGCGCTTCCTCTCACCTCCTTAGCTTTTTGTTGATCTTCGCTAAGGAGAATCTTCTCTATTCTTGCTCTTTGGCCGGATTTATCTGTCTGTCTGCCTGCTGCTTTTATTTCTTTCAAACCCACAGCTCTATCGTGTGTTGACTAACTCCGTCACACCATAAAACTGCTGTTACTATTCAGATTGCACGCATATCCAGACATTCTGCAGCAGAGAGAGACTCCCTCTGGGTGAGTAACCTATTCTGGGACGTATTTTAGTACGACTGTCACCAGAAACACCACGATCTTAAACAACATGTGGACTCAGCACCACAGATGAGCAGACCTTTTATGTGCCCGGAATTGAACCTGGACACGGAGGCGTTTGGGGCTAAACTTCACTTGCACATTGCATTCTGTCTGCTTCTCGATTTGCTTTTTAAAAATGACTTTGCTCAGCCAGAGCACCAAGGGTTGATTATTAAATGGGCATGAAAACAAATGGCTGATTCCAATTCTGTGTCAGTGAAAACAGTTGGCTACACGTAGGCTTTGAGGGCACAAGCTGATATAGTTCTCCTCTATTTATTTGTCCACTTATTCATTACACAAACTTTCCCTGAGGATCCACTATGGCCCAAAGCTATGCCAGAGGCTTCCCTGTCTTCATGGAGGGTTCAGTCCTGTAAGAGACAGGCATTTCAATGTGCCCCCAGAGTATCACATGGCAAGGGCAGGGGACGGTTGTCACAGGTGGCAGGACCCCAGGACGCCGGTGGCTAGTATTTGCTTCCAGCACAGTGAACAGGCAACTCAAGCACCGTTTTGGGGGATACAACTGGCAGCTTGGAGAATGAGAGGAAGTGGGAGCCGGGCCGAGGAGGTGTGGAAGCTCCCGGCTAAGCATGAGGAGGCCTGGTGCACGGTCAGCAGCCAGCTTTGGTGTTGCCGAGTTAGGAGTGGGGGAAAGGGAGCAGGCGGGAACCCGGTGTGGCAACGCAGGCCCCGGGTCCTCACAGGCCTTTAGAAAGGGTGTTGGCAGAGCTGGAGGATTCGCAGAAGGGGTTTTGAGTCAGTCACCTAATGCATTAGTATTTCAGAAACACCGGGCAGTAGCAGAGGCTCAGAACCAGGCAGGTTTGGGGGCACCGGAAGCTGGCTGAGGAGCTGCCCTGGCCTGGGCTCACACAATGGACAAAGACGAACTGGAGCAACGAAGAGAGTCACACTCAGCAGAGTCCCTTGAGCGCGGTGACAGATTTGGAGTAACACGGAGGAGAGAGGCGACATGGGAAGTAGCACAGTGGCTTCTCTCAGAGCCGATTTCTGGGATGAGCTGTGTGGTGGCTGTAACAGCTGATCTATGCACAGGGGAGCACAGCTCTAAATATCTCTGTGTAGCTCTCTCTGTCCATCTATCTATCACCTATTTATCTATTATTTAAGAAATTTTAATGAGTGTCCAATGGGCTAAAATTTCTTGACTCTGCAGAGTTTTCAAGTTTGTGTTTTCTTGTCTCACACCTTTAACCCTGCACTCTAACTAGATGAACAATCCTCGGTCTCCACCTATGTTCTTTAACTGGTCGTTAACCAGGTTCAGGCACTTCTGAACTCTGAGATAAATTTGCTTGTCTTGTGTGCAGAAAGCTTTCCGTGTTCACGGACACTCCACTCCAGGTTTCAGAAAACTGTGCTGCGGGCGTGCTGATGTGAGTGCACCTGCCGGGTGCTTCCCTTCTTTCCCCAGCTGTGATATTTGCTCCTAAAATTTGAAAGTTTTCATACATTGCGACGATGTGAATACTTTGAATTATGCCCCGTAATCTAAAGAACCTCACTGTGTACACTTCAGACAACTGACCCTGGCACCCTAAAAATGGAACAAATTAATTGTGCTTCGCTTCTGAGTGAATTTCTAAATTTTAAGGGGAACAGTGTATATGTTTTTACTTGCCAACTTAATAAATGCTCCCTAGTATGTGATAGCGCAACAGAAGATGGAAAAGTAGGAACCAAAAGTGCCTGGCGGTCTGCACAGCTTCCACCACAGGGACCGTCACTCAGATTTAGGGTGTGTCTTCCAAACACACAAATGTAATTTTCCCACTGGGACCACATTATGCGTAGTTTCCCATAATCTGTTTTTCTCAACAATATGTTACGGTATCTTCCCATGCAAATAGACAGAGCTAAGCTTTGTGTTTCATTTGCGATACGGACAGTTTATTTAGTTAGCCTTACTGGTGCCTTTCCCCAGGTTTCCCACTGACGAACGCTGTCGCTGTGAGTGTCCTTGAGTAGTCTCTGTGCTTTTCCCTGTCTTTCACTATGATCAGTTCCCGTCACGGGGCACTGAGTCAAAGGCTGCGTGTGTTTCAGAGTTGCAGTGCTCCACCTGCATCTGCAGGCCGTGCTCCAGGACCTCCCTGACACCCTGCTGGCGGGTGCTGCGGCCCCTGTGGAAGACGGCACAGTATTTGCCCAGCCTCTGCGCACCCTCCTGCATGATTTAACTCACACAGATGACATAGAACAGCTCACACTGGGTACTCAGGGTGTAACTATTGTTGGACTGCGTGTTTAGGGGGTAACGACAAGGAAAAATTCTCTGTGCTTGTTTAGTATAAGCACAAGGTTGTTTCCAGATATTTTTGGTCTGGGGTTCACTGAAAGCCTCAGAGTGCTAAGTGTATGTTCTGCTGGCATGCAGAGGTGACACTAGCATGTAAGTGTGAGAGCACACGTCCCCACACACTGACCTCCCGTGTTACAGTTAATCTGATGTTTCTTTTTCTATGAGATGGAAAGGATAGGATTGCTTGGGTGTGGATTTTTCAGATACTTTATGCTTACTGCCATTTACATAATTTACATTTCCCTTTTAAAAATTACCTGTTAGAGTCCTCTGCTGATTTCCCCACTCTTGTATATCATCTGTTCATTGCTTACAAAGAGCTCTTCACATATTAAAGTCAAACCTATTTCTGGCAATTTATGTTTTACAGATTTGCTGAGAACCCTCCACCCTATCTCTCAGGTATATATAGAGTAACTCTGAATAAATAAACAACCCCTAGGAGTAAAAACCAAATTAAAAGTTAAAAATAATTAGAGAGCATACTGAGGAACACAACAGCACGGCAGGTTGCTCTCCGAAGCAGGAGGGTCAGGAGGAGAATGCGAATCGCCCGAGGGCGGCTGGCACATCCTCTCCCGCCGCGGTGCCCGGAATGCAGACGCTGCCCGGTTACGTCTCTGCACTTGGTGAGCCTGTGAACACACCCAGGCTCGCAGCGCACGAGCACGCGGAGACGGGAGGCAGGGCGTCTGCAGGTGCAGTGCGGGGCAGAGCTCCGAGCTCTGCATGCCTTTCCCTGTCCAGGGCCGCTGCTAATTTACATCCCAAAGTCCTTTTGTTTACTGAGATTTTTCCTGCCTGAAGGCCCCCAAGGCTCCTGTGTGTGAGGACAGTAAGTCTGTGCATTTTATAAATTGTTGTGTTACTCATGGAGCAGGTAAGCCCGGAGGACCAGGATTAAAAAGGACTCATGGTACACGACAGGGAAAGGAGGGTCAGGGTTGATGCGAGGACAGTGTTAATAGTATCACTATAATTTCAGATTTATCTGCAGATGAATGGCAAAAGACACACTGGAATCGCCCTTATTGGGGATTGCTGAGTAACCCCATTGTCTACAATATTCTCAAGTGTCTTTGGAGAAGTATAGCAGATAAAGAATCAACATATATTTTACAAAGGCAGAAGGAAGAATGCTTTGCTATTTTAATTTTAACCAACTCTTTGGTTATTTAAATATTATAAATATACATATTCCTAATTTCTGTTTTCTAACTTATGAAAAAAATACAATAATCTTCCCTTTTTTATAATTTAGATTTTTTTTGCATGATTGAATATAGCTCTTTATAAGCTGTGTTCTCTTTTTTCCTGAAAGAATAATTTTTTTATTAGCATAATAGCTAATTTTGCTTCTATGTGACACAAACCCCTTTAACTTTATATGGGGTTTTAAATAGTAATGTTTATTTCCTATACAAACTCTCTAGGATGTTTTATTTGTTTTATATCCCATTGAATTCTCCCTGAAACTGCACTAGTTTACAATAATTTTATTACTTTATTAATTAAACGTTTTCCAACAAGCTAGCTATGGCATTTCTTATCATCAAGGGTTCCATTAGTTTTTAATGGTGTGAGACAAAATTACCATTTACCCACATGCAATTTAAGAAGCATCATTAACACAGGAAAAGCACCAGGTGGGATTTCTAATAGTTACTGTTTCTCATTTTTGTTTTTATTTAAAAGGAATAACTGGTTTTGAGATTTTTCCCCCCTGCAATATTGCCAACTCTTCTCTTGGATTTTACGATCGAGATAATTTAAAATAATGTCCTTCTATTTCTGTAGGCGGCACTCAACCATATTTCACTCGGGCACACTGTGCCAGTCTAGGACTTCTGCTACACAGTCGTGTGAGTGTGGGCTGCAAAGACGGCAGAACAAAGAGGGATCCCCGTGGCCCCAGCAGGGTCACTGCCAAGGCTGCAGCAGAGTCGGTGGCCTGGCTGTAGACCTGTCCCTGTCACCAGAGCAGCAGGGGCGATGGCACCCCAAGGTCTGGGGTCCTGGGAACCACGGAAGTTCTAGGACCCTTGCGAGACGGATACTCATGAATGTTTTCCCACAGCTTGCAAGAACTCTTGAAAAGGTGTCTCTGTCACCTTGAGGGAGGCCTTTCCTCCCAGAGGACGGGAGACACTTGTCTGCCTGAAGTGAAAATGAGACCAATCAGAAATGCCCAGTCAGGGAAGTTTGCAGCAGTGCAGATACTCGTAGAAGACAGGGAAAGTGCAAATCCCCCCCCTCTCGCCCCCCGTGCCCACCCGTGGAGCACAGCAACCTGCAGCCCCTGCCGACCCCGAGGGGGAGGGGTGGCACCCACGGCTGGCACGAGACAAAGAGAGCAAAACCAGCCACATAAGTCGGGGTGTCACACAGCTGGTTTGCACACTTGTTCAAGGTTTGATTGTTACTGGACAATTACTATTCTGATATATGAAATAGAATAGCAGAGGGAAATCAGAGTCAAGGTTTGGAAACTTTTTATACAAAGTAGATTAAAATGAACCAATATTCCAAGATTATTTTTATACAAGGGTAGGATGTATTAAAAAATATTTGACTCCCCTGCCTCTGGAAAGGCAGACAGATTAAAACCTCCTAGAAAATGATCTGTGGATTCTGTGATACCAGACAAGGCTGAAAATCGGAGGGAACCGGTCGGCCTGATAGCCGGGCCTCACACACAGCCTCTCCTGCGCGCTGGTTAGTTCCCAAGGCACGGGTGGGCGTTCTGAACAGCAACACCTGCAGGGGTGTGCGGCTGCAGACCGGGTGGGTGGTCCAAAATGCTACATGCAAGTCAACTCGGTGTCTATTTATTGATCACTTACTATGAATTCATTAAATGATAA